ATGCAAACTTAATAATTACTAGAACACATATTGAAACCATATAAAGCATTGAGGTATATCTCTATCCTCTATCGAACATCACAATATTTATTATTTTGTGCTAATGATCCTATTATCACTCTCGATAACAACAAAATTCACAAATAATTCCACTAGTGGCCAATTAATTGAAAAGCATCAAAACGATAATAAATATCTAAACAATTAAACAATTAACGTCAATTAAATTATTCAAATTAAAAATTCATAACAAGGGTTAATCACATCCTAACAAATATGAAAAATTAGCCTAACATATTTGAATTACAAGAAATCATATATAAGTTGAAAGACATAACTCGAATTTTTGATAAATTGAGAAGATGGTGATAAATCTTGAAATCTTGAATTTCTGCAATGATTTCTTAATGAATCTCCACTTGCGCTCTCTCTCTTCTTTGTCTAATACCAAGTTTGAATCTTCACTTGATTGAATTCTTTCAAGTCCCCTTCAATTCTCTCATAAAAATAATGAATTTTCCTTCTTTGATGATGATAATTGATGAATATTGGAGTATATTATGTATAAGATATATGTATGAGAGCCCCCTTCATGTATTCTCATTGGGTATCTGTAGTGGTCGAAAATGGGTGAAAAATCACGTCTAGGAGTGGGCACTTTTTTCCAGAATCGGTGGAACCGGACCGAAACCGTTTAGAACCGATCGGTTCGGTTCCGGATCTTCTAAAAAATAATTTGATTTCGGGACAAATTTTTAAGAACCAACCGGTTCCGGTCCGATTCTCGGTTCTAGTATGGGAACCGTGGGAACCAGATGATTCTCATTGGATTTTTTCTTTTTTTTTTTGGTAAAATATATGACTCAATCTCCAACACTTTTATAAAAATATAATTGGGTTCCTTCTTAATTTTAGATTCCAGCACTTTCCGTCTTCTCTTTGATTCTTTCCTTATCTCTTCTTATAATTTATTGATTAATTGATTTTCAAGCCAAATTAGAATATTGGGTGAATCTATACCTAAATAAATTCATTTACAATATATAATTTAATTTATAAGATGCGAAATTTTTATTTTGTTTTCACTTTGATTACATGATTTTTTATTTTGTTTTCACTTTGTAAATCTATACCTAAATAAATCTTTGAATGATATGTTCGGTTCTTCTATATTTTGTTAAAAGTATCACGTTGTTAACATTTTTAGAGTTTTTATTAGTGATCATTTTATTTTGACATTTTCAATGTAAAGAATTGAATCGGAACCGATTGATTCGGTTCCACGGTTAGCTATGGAACAAATGGTTCCATTTTTAAAATTCTCATTGGTATTCAGTTCGGTTCGGTTTCCTATGGAACTAGATCAAACCGGACTGCGTCCACTCCTAATCACGTCCAAATTGTTTTTCAAAAGAGTTCCAATCGAATAAGGAAAGTTACACTCACGCGCGGATTTTTTGTCTCTACACAACAGTCAGTATTTTGAGCATAATTTTGTCTCCCGATATCTAATTGAGTTGATTCAAAATGCATTGGAAAGTTAACTAAAAGGGTTACAATTTTCCTAGAGATATATATGTTTCAATTCGGACGTTTACTATGTCTAAAATATGTCGCATCCTTGACAACAAATTTGAAAGATATATCATGTAATTGAAAATCGATTTATGGTAATATTCTGATGATATTTCATTCCTTTTTTACTTCTAATTGCATCCAATTGACTCACATCAATCTTTAAAATATCTCTTATGGTCCAATTCAACCATTGGATATTTTCAATTTGGTCCTCAACTTTGTAAGCTTCTTTCTTTCAATTTAACTTCTAACCATCGAGTTTTACCTAATAAATGAAATATACAATAAATTTGGCTATAATTGCTTTAAAGAACTATTAAATGTCCATATTTTTAGATCTACAAAAGTGTATAAAATATACTTCTCAAATACCCCTAAACTTAAACATTTTTTTGTCCTCAAACAAAACCATAAACTAATTTAACAAACACACAAACATGCAAAATATTTTGGTTGGATAATCTAGCTTTTTACCTTAGGATATGAAACTATAATATTAAATCTACGAACAGCTTCTAGATTACAATACCAAAATTAATGTCCACTTTACCAAATGCAAAATTGATGTATGTGTGAAAAATTAAGTAATCAATCATAAATACACAAGTTGTTTCAATTCCTGACCTTCTGTGGTCAAATATATCATTTTTCATCTCTCGTAAGATTCACACATCCCAAACTTATTCTTTTTCACCATTTTCCAAGCGTGTGATCTAAGGTTGAGTTTTTCATTACCATCCTCACCTTATTCAATTTAGGTGGACGTCACTAGTTGCAAGTCAACACATCAATAAATAAGGATTCTCCAATTAGTTGATTGCTTCAACCGTCAAGACTCAATTAGGCTAATAATCCTTCATTGAAAGTCAAATTTCCTCGAACAAGTGTTAGGACTTAACAAGGCATTTAGTGCATTTTTTTTATCTTTTTTTTTTTCTAGATGACTCATGTAGAAGACTTTAGGCCGATGACTTCCAAGTCAGACGATTTTAGGGCACCAAGTTTGAAAACACGATTACATGCTTAATAAACCGAGTCAAAAAGGTTTCAAAGTGAACAATTATTTTTTTCTTTCAAAGGCAACTTCATCTCTGATTGCTTTCTAAATGACCCCTATAGTGAGTTTTAGGTCGATGACTCCCAAGTCAGACGACTATAGGGCACCAGGTTTCAAGATATCCTTGTAGGCTTAATTGCTCGAATCATAAAGGCTTCAAAGAGAAGTTTTAAATTTTAAAATATATGCCTTGATTTGTGAAATGCCCTTTATCATATACCTATTGAAGAAAACTGGCCTCTAACTCAAGACTTTCACCCAATTTTATCCTGTTCATCTCAGACAATCCATACAAATTTTTTTTCACACAAGGAATCCACACTCACATCTGCATTTACCTACAATAGTAACATCACCCCAAACTGTGCTAAATTTGGTCTAAGGATGATTAATTTAGTATGATTTAAGTAAAGTATCTATGTCCAACTAAATCAACATATTAAGAGCATGAAACACTCATTTCATTATAATGTCAAACTAGATTATAGTGCGCATATAATATCAAGTTTTGCAATGTTATATAGCATGCAACATATCCACAGTTCATAAATTAACACTAAATCTCTATTTAGATCATCATTGTCGGTCAGGCTATCCAACCCATACAAGCACTCAATCTAATAAAAAAATTGTTTTTTTTAAGTAGTACTAAAAACAAATGCACAAAAACACACAAGCGTACAAAAACCAAAAAATTCAATTTTTTTTACCTCCAAACTTGAACTCGACATTGTCCTCAATGTCATAAAATAAAAGTAAGAGTATAAGAGAATGGGGAGAAAAGGAAAAAAATACTCCCCCGAAATTTTCTGTTAAATATGTGAGGCACTATGGATGACGGCTCGACAATCTCTGTCATTATACTTTTCCTTTGATTTATATTGGTTTGAGTGTTCCATGACATCATGTTCCTGTACATAGCAGTTAAATCAAACACTAAAAATCAAATAACCTAGAACATGTGCTACTTAACCCAAACAATCAAAATACCAACAATAAATTCAATAGCCTAAGTGGAGTATTAAGGATGGTGATAACCTACAAATGAAAACGTGCCAAAATCTAATGCAACCTAGTAATCAAAACAAATCTATATGCTATGCAATGCACAAAGCAAAATAAATAAAATCGTTAAAAGATTGGATTGCCTCCCAATAAGCGCTTAATTTATAGTCTTTAGTTAGACTGTACGGAGGAATTGATCATGGTGGTTTAAACATGCATCTTGACCTTTTGCACTCATTGCAATTTCCAACTTTGCATCCTCGTTTTGATTTCCAAACCTTGAACCCTCAGTTTCCCTCTCGTCCAATGCTTCCTAAATTATTAGGCTTTGTCTCCTTCGAGCCTTGTTGTACCTTTTCAGTAATATAATTGCACTCCTCCTTAACTTTTTTCATTGATCTCTCTATGTACTGGATTTTCGATAATAGTGTAGATATTGAATTCTCTTACTTATCTTCTACTCTAAATGTCAGTTCACCATTTTCAAAGTCCATGACAGCTCGGCTTATTGATAGGAAGGATCTACCCAAGATAAGTAACGCTGCATCACATGGCTCCTCTATATCTAGGACAACGAGATCAACTAGAAATATGAATTTGCCCACTTTAACGAACACGTTCTCAACTACTCCACGTGGGTATTTGATTGATCTGTCTGCCAATTGAAAGGAAATGGATGTGTCTTTCAGTGCTTTCAAACCTAAGTTTTTGTATACAGAAGAAGGCATTAGGTTAATACTTGCTCCATAATCACATAAGCAATTAAAATTTAAATATTTTCCTATCGAGCAAAGTATTTTGAGACTCTCTGATCTTGTAGTTTAGGAGGTAATTTATTTTGCAAGATGGCACTACACTCTTCATATAACTTGATGGCCTCAAAATCTGTAAGCTTTCTTTCTTTTTCTTTTTCTTTTTTTATAGGATCTCCTTCAGAAATTTTGCATAGTTTGGTATTTGAGATAAAACTTCAGTCAATGGGACATTGACATGAAGTTTCCTGAAGATATCCAAGAACTTTGCAAATTGTTCTTCCAACTTCTTCTTTTGTAATCTCTAGGGAAATGGGACCGGAGGCAGATAAGGCTTGATAGGAGTGGTTGCCTTGACCTGTAGATTTTCTAACTCTTGAGATGGAACTATTTTGTCTAGTTGTTCAGATTTATCCATCTGCTCCTCATCTATAAAATGTGACTTTTTATTTTCTGCCACCCGTCTCTCAACTGTAATTTCTGGAAGTTTAACCCGACTGCGTGTAGTGATAGCCTCAGTCTTCTCACTCTCCATAACTTTTACTGCCATTACCAGTTGTTTAGGATTTGTTTTCGCATCTGTTTGGTAGTGTTCCTTGCTGTCTTTTTTAGAGTGTTTTTGCTATTTGTCCCATATGATCTTCTAAACTCCAAATAGCAGCTCCCTGAACTTGTAAAGTCTTATTTGTTCTTTGCATGTGTCGAGTAGAGATCTCAACCAATTTAGTAATAAGATCTTCCAATGAAAACTTATTTTTAGCCTGCTGAAAACTTGGCGGTGCAGTCTGCTGTGGCGCAATCTGAGCTCCCTGATTGTTGCTCCATTGAAAACTTGAGTGATTTCTCCAGTCTGGGTAGTAGGTGTTAGGATTCTGATTGTGTTGCTGTCTTTGAAAATTTTGAGCATAATTTACATCCTCTAGTGATTGAGCAAAAGGACTACCCACGATGCAATCAACACTTTCATGATTTCCTCCACGGTGCTTGCATTTTTGTCTAACTATTTGAATGGCATTCATCTGATCCACCTTTTTAGCTAAAGCTGCTAGCTATGCTGAGATTGTTGTTAATGGACCCACATCATGTATCCTAACTACTTTCTTTACACTTGTTCTTTCAGTAGGCCACAGTACACTAGTGAATGCTAAATCCTCCATGATTTGATATACTTGATCCGTTGTTCTCTTTGTGATGGAACCATCGCATGCGAAGTCCACGTTAGCCCTGCTTGTAGGATTTAGTCCAATGTAGAAGTATTGTACTTGAAGCCACTTCTGCAATCCGTGTTGTGGGCACTGGCAAAGTAAAACCTTGTATCGTTCCCAAGCCTCTGAATAGCATTCTGAGTCCATTTGCTGAAAAGCAGTGATCTCGTCCCTTAGCTTTGCAATCCTTTTCAATGGGAAATATTTGCTAAGAAATTTCTGACTCAATTGGTTCCATGTTGTGATGCTCTGCGGTGGACAATTGCCTAACCATTCCCTTGCTGAGTCTCTCAATGTGTACAGGAAGTGTCTTAATCTAATTGCTTCCCTTGAAACCCCCGGATACTCAGTTGTTGCACACATGTCCAGAAATCTTGATATATGAGCGTTGGAATTCTCTATAGCTTTCCTAAAAAATTGTAGCGCATTTTGGAACATGTTGATGATATCTGTTCTCAAGTAGAAGTTTGTCTAATCAAATGTTGGATATACGATAATGGATGGACTTTCCACTACCGGTGGAACCATATACTCTCCCATGAGCCTTTCATTTTCATTCATTGCAGCGATACCCAAATTAGCCCCGATGGCTATTTGATTCGGATATTCGTTTGCCACGTCTTCCTCTTTTTGTTTTTGGTGTGTTTCAAGCTCTTGTCTTTTTTGAAAGTTGAATGTTCGTTCGATTTCTAGGTCAAATTGAGCAAGATCACCAATTCTCGAACTTTGAATACAAAGTCCTAAAAAAGAAAGTAAGAAACACTATAAAATTTTTCTAATTTAATAAACAAAAAAAATTCAGATTAAAGCTAAAATAAACTAAAACTAGTCAAAAAAACAATAGTTCCCAGCAACGACGCCAAAAACTTTATCGTTTGATTACCCACAAGTGAACGAGATCGTGAGCAAATAATATAGTAGTGTGTAGAGTGTCGAACCCACGAGAACTATGTGTTTGATCCAATTAAATTAATAATACCTTTAATCGAATAGCAAAATCAAGTTGTGACTAAACAATATTAAATCTAGTAACTAAATTGAAGGCAAAGTAAAACTTTATCAAATTCGCGAGAAGTATTGCTAAGATGTGGAATCCCCTTTGCTAATCTATTTTTAGTTCGACAATTTAAATTGACAAATTTGAAATCATGCTTGTTGGTCAATGTTCATATTTTAATTGAAAATATCTCTCGATAGTTATCAAATATATTCCCTTCATGCGACCTTTCTATCTCTCGATGAAAGATGTAAACATGATAAATGCATTAATAAGTGTTAGAACACCTATTGAAACCATATAAAGTATAGAAGTATATCTCTATCATCTATCAAACCTCACAATATTTATTATTTTGTACTAATGATCCTATTGACTCTCTCGATAACAACAAAATTCACAAACAATTCAACTAGTGGCCAATTAATTGAAAAACATGAAAACGATAATAAACATCCAAACAATTAAACAAATTAACGTCAATTAAATTATTCAAATTAAAAATTCATAAGAAGGGTTCATCACATCGTAATAAATATGAAAAATCAACCTAACATATTGAAATTATAAGAAATCATATATAAGTGAAAAAACATAACCTGGATTTTTGATAAATTGAGAAGATGAAGATAAATCTTGAAATCTTGAATCTCTGCAATGGTTTCTTAATGAATCTTCATTTGCGCTCTCTCTCTTCTTTGTCTAATACCAAGTTTGAATATTCACTTGATTAAATTCTTACAAGTCCCCTTCAATTCTCTCACAACAATAATGAATTTTCCTCTTTTGATGATGATAATTGATGATTATTGGAGTATATTATGTATAAGAGAAATGTATGAGAGCCCCCTTCATGTATTCTCCTGTTGGATATCTGTAGTGATCAAAAATTGGTGAAAAATTACACCCAAATTGGTTTTCAAAAGAGTTCCAATCGAATAAGGAAAGATTCATCACATAATGTAGTGTTCATCGAATTCTTCTATTATATTCAATTTATCACTCTTCAGTTTTCATTGAACCTATTTTACTATGTGAATCAATCTTAGTTAGACGAAATATTAATTTTAAGAATTCATATAACAATCGCAATAATTAGTATATGTATTTCTATACGTTATACTAATTTATAGAATTTTAGTATGTAGTCTAAATTTAAAACTTACTTCTCGATTTGTAACAAATTCGCAAAATCATTAAATTAGTGATCAAGTAATTTAAAACATTAAATACATAATTAAAATCAACACCTAAATAATGAAAAACTAGAATCTTAAATAAAAGAAATAAATGGTCACAATTAGATTACATTTTTCGCTTAAATAAAAGGCTAAGCTACTCATGATAGATGAGAAAAACAATTAACAATAATGAATCACAACACCGAATTTTGAATTGAATGAATATGTAGAGAAGTGGATGAATCTTACATAAAGTTTCTTCTCTTTCTCAAATCTTAATTTCAAATCCTAACTCTTGTTTTCTTGTTTTTTTCCTTTCATATTCTCAATCTTTAGTTCTGGTCTTCATCTCTCAATGTATGAAACTCCTTTCAAGTATCTCATTTCTTGTATTTATAGTTGCTTCCTTGTTTTTTTTTTCCCAAATTTGGAGCTTTTATGTGCTTTAAAAAGGCCAAAATTCGCTCTCTTGGTAAGTAGGTGGGCCCACATGGCACCGCGGTGCCACAACTCTGTATTGTGCAATTTAATGGTGTGTCGGCGCCATGGCGCCACCTTTCAAGTAAAAATCAGCATTGCGCATCCTTCAATATTTTTATATTAATTTTTATTTCTGATATCCGATTGAGGCAATTTAAATTGGATTGTGAAGATAACTCAAAGGGATATAATTTTACTGGTAGCTCTTTCTCAATTTGAACGTTTACTAGGCAAAAAATGAGTATCAATCTCCAGCTAAAAATTTGAAACATTTGAAAATTGATTTCTGAAAATATTTTGGTCATAATTCATTCATTTTGACTTCTAATTCCATCCAATTGACCCCTGAAATTCTCAACTATTCATCGTAATGTCCGACACAACTTTTGAACATTTACACTTTTGCCCCCAAACTTTGGACCTTGCCATTTTTCTTCTCCTTTTGCATTAATTAACACCACCTTACCAAACATATAACACAACAATAATAAACACATTAAAATATTTAATACTCATATGATACTCATCAAATACCCCAAAACTTAACAGTTTGCAAGTACTCAAGCAAACACAAAGAAAAAGAAACTAAGAAACACACAAACAAAAACTTAGCTAGATAACTTGTATTTTGACTCAATATTGAGAACATTATATCATATTTATGAACGACTTCAAAATCACAATGCAAGAGCCAAACTTTCACTTATCCAATGCAAAACACGTGTGTGTGAAGAATCAAGTGTAAAGACATGCATTCACAAGTTGGTTCAATTCTCAATCATCATTGTCAATTGTTTTCTTCCTTTGCTTGTGAAATCCACACATTTTCAAACTTGTTTTATCTCTCTCTCCCCTAGGTGCACTTCTAAAGTTTAATTTTATTGATCAATTCCTTACACTACTCTAATTTAGTTAAGTCTGATTAACAACGTCAATGAGTTATTCATATGATGATTTTTCCAAATTCTGAGTGTTTCAAGAATCAAGTTTATACCAAGTGATTCAAACTTACTAATTATTTGAGTCCCCAACAATCAGTTTTTACTTAAGCACTTATATATAATTTTTTTAATATTTTCTTTTTAGCTCAATTTTGATCTCATCATTTTTTCCTCATTTGGATCCCTATAACGACTTTTGGATCGACAACTCCCCAATTTTTGAATATTGAAAGGCACTAGATTTCAAGATATCCTATAGACTTACTATCTCGAGTAAAAAAGGTGTTGATCACACTCTATCTTCTAGCCCTTCGGCAACTATACTTCATATCACATTAGGTAACCGCTTTCGAAAACTTCTCCCTAGAAAGCGTTGTTAATAGGATCCATTTCATTATATATATATATATATATATATATACTCAGTGGAGAGGCATGTTGTCTTCTATTCAAACGGAGCTTCTTTTCATTGCATTTTCAGACTAGCATCACTCTCCACTGGACAGTCTTTGCACTCTTTGACGGCATGTTGTCTTCTCTTCAAACAGAGCTTCTTTTCATTGCATTTTCAGACTAGCATCACTCTCCACTGAACAGTCTTTGCACTCTTTGACTTCTACTTCTGCTACTTTTATTTCTTCTAGATTTTTTTTCGAGCTGACCTATTTTCTCGATCTCATATATTTCAAAACTTTCTAAGCTGTAATAGAGATTTCGTGGTTTAATTTGTTCACAATTTTCTCATAGACGACATTGATTTATTGATGGTAATACAAAATCAACTATTCCCTCACATAACTATGATTTTCTCCTCCTAAACTCACTAGTTTCGATGCACAAACTGGGAGCAATACGGGAAATAGTTACTTGAGAGAGAACTATTTGAATTGCATGCTTTACTCTTCAGAAAATGGGGGTATTTATAGATTTTCCTCCAAGTTTTGTGATGGTTTGGTCATTTAGAGAATGTGATAGATGGTGGATCCTTATTGGTTGCCTGATAACCGATTATGTTATCAATATTACGATTTATTCGTTAGCCTACGTGTATTAGCAGCCTGTAGCCAGCCTGGATGAAGGATAGATTCACTAAACAAATGCGAACCATTTTATGTTTCTATTTGATACAGAAGCATACAAATTGACAAAGAACAATAAGAAATAAGTGAGATCAAAAGGAAGAATTGAAGGCAAGAGAAATACTTTTATTCATATAATTCAGGTGTTTGTAAACATTACCCTAATTCCCTTTATATAGGAAGGACTTTGAAATTAAATAAACTTCCTATCTAAACAAATTTGAAAATAGAAGATAACATTGTCAAAATAAAACTACTATAACCTAGATAAACTCGAATTCTACTAATTATTACTTTTTCCCTTGAATAGACTTTTAGTTGTTTCCTTGTTGCTTGTTCCTCCCCGATTGAGAAAAACCCGACTCCGGCGAGGTATAGTCTAGAAAGGATCCAAAAGCTTTGGATCCAATTAACAAAATTCTTCTTCATTAATCCAAATTGATGCAGAAGCATACAAATTTATAAAGAACAATAAGAAATAAGGGAGATCAAAGGGAAGAATTGAGGGAAAGAGAAATACTTTTATTCATATAATTCAGGTGTCTGTAAATATTGCCCTAATTCCCTTTATATAGGAAGGACTTTGAAATTAAATAAATTTCCTATCTAAACAAACTTGAAAATAAAATATAACATTGCCAAAATAAAACTACTATAACTTGGATAAACTCGAATTCTACTAATTATTAGTCTTTTGCTTTGAATAGACTTTTAATTGTTTCCTTGTTGCATCACTATTACTCTATGGGATCGGAACATTTGCAGACCGTCAACCAAGTTCATGGATTAAATCATTTAACAATTGGCTCTACGGTCAGTTCCCAAAAAATTTTGTCAAAAAAAACCTATTAATTATCCCCTTAAACTACAATGCCAATATGAATTTACATATTAGTCGAATACTCTCTGTGTCAAGCGTAACTTTATTTCAATTTTCACTTGACAGCAAAAATATAACTATATTTTTATATAGGAAAACAATAAGTAAAATAAAAGCTCTTCTTGAGCTTTAAAAAATTGATGATGATGTGGATCTATATACACTTAGTGAATATAATGAAACTAGTTACAAGTTATAGTCTTGTATGGAGTTCTTTCTTTGGGAAGCTGAAAATTTTATTTCTTCCATCTTAGTTCACTTAGAAATTCAAAAACTATGAAAAACTGAAGTTAGAATCCTTTTATCCCCTCGACTCATCTGCCCCAAACATATGTCTCTTGTGGTGTAGGTTGAATTTGATGGTCTAATGTCAACATGATTGACCATTTTATCTATCTTGAAAAATATTTTATTTCACTTTTAAGAAAAAAAAAGTTTGATTCATACTTCATGCAAGAAATATTTATTATTCAAAAAGGAAAAAATGGGCATGAAAATAGACTGGCCTCTACCCTTTGCCCTTTTCTTCTCTATGGTTATTAGTAAATACAATTTATTTTTATTTATATGAAATATGTTTCATTGTATCAATAGATAGTATACAAAGATGGAGTAAAAAGACAATCCTAAAAGGAATCTGAAGCTTCATTTTTTGTTGGCCCTTTGTTGATTGCTTTGTATAATGCTTTTCCTTTTCTCTAAATAAAGCTCTATTAATGCCCGAATAGAATTTATTCCACTTCAACTCACCTCTCACACCATTTTCGAATCCATAACTACCTTCATCAACAAGACTACCTCCACCCTAGCCCTTCGTGACAACTAATATTTTAGTAATTATATTCGATACTGACACTTTCAATGTAATTTGTGTATGCTACATGTGCCCCTATCAAGTGCACAAGTCCTAACTCCTCAACTTGTTTTCATTCACCTAACTAAAAAGATCTGAACTCTTTCTTAATTATGTATAATACTTGTCGAGTCTGGCATTAACCATATCATCTAAAAATTAATTGTTCAATGAAGATATGCTAAACACTTTATGATATTCGTCCATCATTGTTTCAATTACCTAACTCATGAGCTTCATAATGGCCTTTTTGCCCCCCACCAATACAAACTAATTTCATGTATCAAACATATCATTAGAATTAGGTCTTCATAGTGGCATTTCTGCTTCCACCAATACAAGCTAATTTCATGTATCAAATATATCATTAAAGTTAGGTCATTGACTCGCATTTTTGCTCCACCAATACAAGCCAATTTTCACGCATCAAATATATCATTAGAGTTAGGTCATCGAGTCGCATTTTTGCTCCCACCAATACAAGCTAATTTCACGTATCAAATATGTCATTAGTGCCTCGAGTGAAACGTTTTGATTAGTGCTTCTTCTTCTTTTGTCTTAAATTATCCTTCAAGATTTCATGTGAACTCTTGTCTGGGCTTTATTTCTCTTTTTGGCTTTATATATAATATATAATTAGGTTCTCATTCCCAAAATAATTTTACTTTATCAACGTGCTGACCTCTACTAATCAAAGTAACCCATGCTAGTAGCTTTTGATGTCTACAAAGCCATGTTATTTTCTTTGCAATTTTTTGAATTTAACTATGTTTCTCAAAAGTAAAAAATAAAAATGAAAAAAATGCATTTATAAAAGTGGAAAACTGAAAGAAGAATAATGTAAATACCAAAATTGAACTTTTGTTAAAGCAATAGGGTAAAGATGGGAAAAAAATTCAAAGCTAAAGAGAACTCTTTTCCCACGCCCCCCACTAACATTAGCAACATCTTTATTGCAGTGACAAATATTAATTTAAGGAAAAAAAATCTTTTCAGTATTTGGCGAGAGAAGGAAAACACTTAGAAATATTAATTGCGCTAGACCAGCTTGTCTAAAACTTAAGTTATTAAAATGAAAAATAAGTGTATATTTTGAGTTAATTGTTCCAATGGTCATTGAACTTAGACTCATGTTTTTGCTTGGTCACTGAAATTTAAAAAATCGAGTTTACTGAACTTTGAAAAATATTCTTATACATTATTCATTGTAAACTCAATACTTTTCAAAGTTCAACATTTATACTAGTAAGTGATGTACTTATTTTACAAAGTTTAGTGACCAAAACTCGACATTTTAAATTTCGATGAACAATCGAAGATATGAACCTAAATTCAGTGACCAAAATTCAACATTTTAAATTTCAGCGACCAATAAAAAAATATGAGCCTAAGTTCAATGTCTATTGGAACAATTAATCCGTATATTTTTATTTCTCTTCTTTCATGAAAAAGTTGATATATGAAGTTTGTATAAATAATCATCTTATCTTGAAATTTAAAATATTGTATCTACATCAATGCTAAAATTCAAAATGGTTAATTATTTTTCATGAGATTTCTAGAATGAAGACAAAAAGTTAAAACCTTAGCACGACATAAAGATAGAGACGTAATTATCATATTAAAGCACATACAATTATTTCTCAAAATTAATCTATGGTTAAAAGACGAGAGGACACAAGGAAATGATAGTTCACACCTAATAAATTTAAGTGGTTTAATACATTAGATGAACTCTAAATTTATTTTACTTATTAATTTCCCTTCTTGAATGATCTTATTTTTGAGCAAAAACAATATTGTTTCGTACCATTAGAAAGTAGCCAAGCAAGTTTGTCACAAGCACATGAATGCACTGTTTAAGCAGAACGACAAACCCGAGTCCCTAAATTCGAGTATGATATGTTTGATATATTGAATAGAAAAAAACACTAACATCTCATCGAAATTATCCTGAGCCCCTATTTTTATTTAACTAAAAATTTAATTTTTAGTTAATTTTGATAAAAGAATGAAATTCAAGATTTGAAAAATTCATAAAATTGTGAATTCCATAAAATATGTAAATTAATTATTGACTTATGCAAATATTTTTGTTAATTTTTCTAAATAAACCAAACAAGGCTTAATTTGTAGAATTGAACTTAACAAATATATATGAGCTGTGCTTGTGTACAGCAAGACACACAGCCTCTCACATGAGAGGGCCTAGCGTTGATCGCAAGCACACGATCAGCGCAGGGTTGTCTTATGTGAGGACTACGATCAGTGCTGGACCCTCTCATGTGAGAAGGTTGTACAATCAGAATAACCCAATATATATTTAGTATTCAAAATTATGGACCCGAAATCTTGAAAAAGATCTTTGGAAACGCGATTAAGAATGAATAATCAGAGTGGTGTTTATTCGTCTCATCATGAACCAATGAGTAAATTACTGGACGAACATTCTGTTATATCCAAAGACCGAATGTTGCAAGAACATATTAAAGATAAAGCTGGAAAAAAGCATTGATTACCAAAAGCAAAAGCATACTCGTTTATGTTTTCGAACGTGTACTTTTCAATGTTATGTCCAATCTGCACCACTAATTTACATGTTAGACATTTCCAGAATAGAAGCTGTGGAAAATACTTTAGGATTGTTTATGCGGGCACAATTGTTAAAGTTACAGAATTTAACATGTATGTCGTCATAGACAATGAAATGGATAAGACTTATCCGAAGACCAATTGATACATTTTGTCACGTAACTATTTACCTAAACCATTTGTACTCGAGCGTGTATACCTGGGAAGGGACCCCACGCCCAATAAATGCTTCCAGCCAACCTCCCATGTGAAGGACATGTATACCCCTGTGCACGTGTAGCCCAACCCTAATTTTATTCAATTTTATCCTCGTTCAAACTTGTTCGAATTTACTTTCACTACTTGAGTTGAGAGTCAAATCGCTCAAGGCTTCAAACTATGACATATGAAGTCCCTGTTTGGTCAAGATTAAAATTTAAATTTTAATCTAAATTAAAACTAATTATTGATTTTAAATAAATATTTTATGAAACTCACAGCTCTTCAAATACACTTTTCATCAACTTTAATCAAAATCTGTTAAAAATTTAATTTTAATTTCCACCTGACAAGTGCTAAACAGTTAGATGACATTGTTCATATCGAAGTTCAAGGAAGAATGTCGAAGTACTATAAAGCCATGTATTTCCCAAATTTCGAGAACAATAATAAACTTATAAATTAATATAGCAAGTCTGAAAATGATCATTAGCCACAAAAGTACCACACTCGTCGTACAAAGACGTTGAGTTTGACATGACAAGCAGAGTATAGTTTCTTTAATTTTTACATTGTACTCCCCCGTCCCTAGCAGAGGTGAATTTCTTTTGAATCATGCTACAGAACTCGGGATAAAATCCCGGGTTCTGCTCCAGGGCCGAGGTGGCAATCACCTCGGCCCTTGAATCCAGTGGCCGAGATTTGGCCACCTCGGCCCTGGATCGGAGCCCGAGATTTCTGCAGCTTTATTCATTTATTTTTTCTGAATTTTTGACATGACAAGCACCATCCTCATATATTGTTTTATATTCATTATTAGTAAAACATGCCACCTGCTGTTGTTTAAAATAATAATAATAATAATAAATAAATAAATCTTGAAGTTGGGTTCTGCTGATATTTGTGAACCCTGATATTTGTTTCAAAAATTATGCATGTACCGAATATTTAATGGAAAATGAATCACAAATTAATTACAAAATAAGCAAACCTCATTATATATATCCAAGAACAGCATGGATTCCAAAGATCACCCACGTATAGAAAAAGGAAAAGTAAGAGGTCTGTTCATTATTCATTTTGCTTTATCTTTACTGCTTCTTTCAACCCTCGAACAGTCACTTTAATTGGCTCTCTTTACCCCGATTTTAAGCACAAACCACACACCCAAAAGTCCCCACATGATACACACAGAGTCATCACACTCTTTCCTTGTCTTCTTCTGTTTATAAATAAATCCAGAAGACGCAGACAAAATCAAAATTTCACAAGCCTGAAGAAACAAAACATTGGTAATTTGTAACAGTCCAACATGGAATTATTGTCACAAATGTGGTCTTTTATAGGCCTTCTCACAGTCCTCCAAAACATACTGCCTACACAGCTTCTCTCATTTCTGCATTCTGTCTATGAATCCCTTCATGATTTCTTTAGCCCGTATTCTTACTTCGAAATCCCAGAATTCAATGGCTACTGCGGGATTGATGTAAATGATCTCTACCGCCATGTGAATCTCTACCTCAACTCCATCAACACCTCCACCACCTGCCGCCGCCTCACTCTCTCCCGCTCCAAATCTTCTAACAGAATTTCATACACTGTTGCACCCAACCACACTGTCAATGACTCCTTCAAAGGCCACCACCTCTCTTGGACTCACCAGGTTGAGACTGTCCAAGATTCCCTTGATGAAAAACGTAGTTTCACTCTCAAACTTCCCAAGCGCCACCACATGATTCTCCTTGATCCGTATTTAGAACATGTCACAACAAGTGCAGAAGAATTTGAGAGAGTTTCGCGGGAGCGCAGGCTCTTCACCAACAATGGACACAGTTCTTTTGAGTCGGGATGGTCCTCCGTGCCCTTTCACCACCCTTCCACATTTGACACACTTGCACTCGAGCCGGAGTTGAAGAAACAGCTTACAGATGATCTAACGGCATTTTCTGAAGGCAAAGATTTTTATCACAAAATAGGACGCGCATGGAAACGTGGATATTTGTTGCACGGACCACCAGGGTCAGGAAAATCCAGCCTCATTGCCGCCATGGCTAATTTTCTATGCTATGATGTGTATGATCTTGAGCTTAGTAAAGTCTCAGACAATTCTGAGCTAAGGGCTTTGCTCATACAAACTACAAGCCGTTCGATCATAGTGATTGAAGATATAGATTGTTCGATTGATTTAACAGGGGACAGAATAACAAAGAACAGGAAATTACCATCAATGCCTAAGAATGGCCGGCATGGACATGACAATGGAGAGGATAATGGGCGGGTGACTTTATCAGGACTGCTTAATTTCACTGATGGGCTATGGTCATGCTGTGGAGAAGAGAGAGTGATTATTTTCACTACAAACCACAAGGACACTGTCGACCCAGCGCTGATTAGATGTGGACGCATGGATGTGCATGTTAGCCTCGACACGTGCGGCATGCATGCCTTCAAGACCTTGGTAAAGAACTACTTGGGGGTGGACTCACACATGCTGTTTGACGTTGTGGAGAGTTGCATAAGATCAGGTGGGGGCCTTACGCCAGCCCAGATTAGTGAGATCCTATTAAGGAACCGTAGAAATGCTGACGTGGCAGTTAAAGCAGTTATATCTCTCATGCAAGCAAAGATTTTAGGAGCTAACATGGACATAATCGAGGGTGGAATGGAATATGATGACATGGCAAAGTCACCGGACAACCTTGACCGTGGGTCAACTGAGTCTCCACAGGAGAAAAAAAGGCGGGAGAGATCTAATTCTTGGGAGAGTAAAGCTAAATTCCTTGTAAGACTCAAGTCTCTAACAAAATCTGACTCTGGAAGAAGGGGAATTTGAAGTTAGAACCCTTCTTGAGCTTATGCATATGAATTATGACATAAATTTAGTGGTTCAGCTAATATTAAGGGCTCATCAATAAAGGTCTTACTAATAGAAGTACTAATTTCGAGGATTTTATATATATTCCAATTACAAAAGCCCCAAAGCCAATAGTTAGTGTTTCCAACAACTCTTTGTTTCTCACAATAGTACTCAATAAAGATCCATATGTACTAAAATTAATTATTGCAGGCTGTAAAGAATTAAATGAAGTAATAGAGGTCTTAAAAATCCATTTGTGTACTGAATTTGAGCCTTTGCTCGTTCGTGTAAAATTAATTAAAAGTTACTAAAAGTCAAAAATTAATTTCTATCATGCATTCAAAACTACTACCTATTTATTAATCACACATTTCATAAAATTGAATAATATTTCTAGTAAAAATTTACAAATAATTTTACACACACGCGCGATGATATTGCAGCAAACAAAAATGAAGTGATGATGTCTTGCAGTCTTATTTACTTGTATTTCATCAATCAAGTGTATAAGATTACGACTCTAAAGGGTGAAAAGAGCTGTGGAAAAATGAAATCAAATCTCAAGAAAAATTTTCAGGGGCACAAAAAATCCGATCACATGTAAAAATGCAGAAGAGAAAGATGTATGAACTCAAATCTCAAGAAAAATATTCAGGGGCACAAAAAATCTGACCACATGTAAAAAAGTAGAAGAGGAAGCATGTATGTGCGCATTTGGGAAGTTAATAAATTATGAATATCGAGTCTCGGAATATTTATCGGTGTGAGTAGAGACTAATTTTCCATTGTACTACGTCTGGAAATAAGGAAAACCTTATTGTCATCACTCATTGCCATTAACTTTGATACATAGTATTTAAGGAACCGTAGAAATGCTGACGTGGCAGTTAAAGCAGTTATATCTCTCATGCAAGCAAAGATTTTAGGAGCTAACATGGACATAATCGAGGGTGGAATGGAATATGATGACATGGCAAAGTCACCGGACAACCTTGACCGTGGGTCAACTGAGTCTCCACAGGAGAAAAAAAGGCGGGAGAGATCTAATTCTTGGGAGAGTAAAGCTAAATTCCTTGTAAGACTCAAGTCTCTAACAAAATCTGACTCTGGAAGAAGGGGAATTTGAAGTTAGAACCCTTCTTGAGCTTATGCATATGAATTATGACATAAATTTAGTGGTTCAGCTAATATTAAGGGCTCATCAATAAAGGTCTTACTAATAGAAGTACTAATTTCGAGGATTTTATATATATTCCAATTACAAAAGCCCCAAAGCCAATAGTTAGTGTTTCCAACAACTCTTTGTTTCTCACAATAGTACTCAATAAAGATCCATATGTACTAAAATTAATTATTGCAGGCTGTAAAGAATTAAATGAAGTAATAGAGGTCTTAAAAATCCATTTGTGTACTGAATTTGAGCCTTTGCTCGTTCGTGTAAAATTAATTAAAAGTTACTAAAAGTCAAAAATTAATTTCTATCATGCATTCAAAACTACTACCTATTTATTAATCACACATTTCATAAAATTGAATAATATTTCTAGTAAAAATTTACAAATAATTTTACACAAACACGCGATGATATTGCAGCAAACAAAAATGAAGTGATGATGTCTTGCAGTCTTATTTACTTGTATTTCATCAATCAAGTGTATAAGATTACGACTCTAAAGGGTGAAAAGAGCTGTGGAAAAATGAAATCAAATCTCAAGAAAAATTTTCAGGGGCACAAAAAATCCGATCACATGTAAAAATGCAGAAGAGAAAGATGTATGAACTCAAATCTCAAGAAAAATATTCAGGGGCACAAAAAATCTGACCACATGTAAAAAAGTAGAAGAGGAAGCATGTATGTGCGCATTTGGGAAGTTAATAAATTATGAATATCGAGTCTCGGAATATTTATCGGTGTGAGTAGAGACTAATTTTCCATTGTACTACGTCTGGAAATAAGGAAAACCTTATTGTCATCACTCATTGCCATTAACTTTGATACATAGTATGAACATTTATCTCAAGCTAGTATGAACATTTATCTCAAGCTGTTTTGCTGCTGCTGCTAAGTACCATTTTAATGGGTTATGGTTTGCTAACCATTGAAAACATTTTTTTCCCCTTCTTAAGATTAATTAGTCACCTAAGATGAGTGTCTAATGGAAAAATGATTCATTCGTCCCCACAATTACTGTTGTGATCTCAGTTGTAACTATAAATTATTGAATTCCAAGTATTCAACATAAGATTCCACACTTCAGCTATCTAATCATCAATCTATTTTATCTTTCAAATACAATCAGTCATATCAATTGAGCATTTAGGCCTATCAAAACTAAGAAATTTGGAGTTCCTAGTGTTGGGAGTAGGCTTAAAATCTCAAAATAATCAGTTTTCTTTGAGACCAAAAAGTATTTGATGCTTGAACTCCCTAAAGATGATGGATTTTACTCTTGAATCTGCACAGAAAAACCTAAGGATTTATCCTTGTAGCCAGCTTTAGTGGCGTGGCCCTCCTCACCAAGCTAGCAAACCTTCTTCCAAGCAAGATCACACACCCGTGACACCTCAAAGAATTTGAGCAAGCAATTAAGGGTACATTACTCGCTTAGGATTCAGGAACTCGTTTCATGATTGTGTAAAGTATTATTCCTGAAACGAGTTCCTGAATCCTAAGTCATCAACGTGGTCTCATTCAATTTTATCTAAAACATGTCATTGTTCTTATTTCCCAAAACTAGACAAATCGAAGAGAACAATACAATAATACGTTCAACTTTACCCACCGGTTGTGAACGATAAGCATGCCTCACTATACTTGACCAATCAAGTATTGATGTGTAACATCTCTTGCAATCATAGAGACTTAGATTAATAACTCAAATTTAATACACTGATAGGTGATAAATAAAAGTATTATTTTTAATTTCGTCTACATTAAAAAAAATAATAATAAAAATAAAAAATAGAAATAAAATAAAAACACAAATTTAAGAGAATCAAACTAACAATATGGATATATTCCATAATCACAACATAAATATACAGAAGATAGGTCATAGGACATAATAAGCAATGTGAACTTCAGGAATCAACTCAATGTCAACATTTATAAGTTAAACCCATTTTACTGATTCTGAAGAAGAACGAGGGCAAAAACAGGCATTGATTTTGTTTCAATTACCTGTACTAAGAAACTGAAACTGCCCCTAAAATCATGGATTCAATGAAGTCCAATCAGTTATGAATTTATGCTGCATTTAAATTGCACAGATACCATCACATGGCCTCCCTCAATTCAAGAAATAATACAAGAATGAAAAATATTATTAAAACGTACGTCTACTTTTCGCTGAAATGGAACAAAATCCAGATGACCCATCAGAACTTCCATCGGCCGCCACCTCCACCTCCACGGCCATATCCTCCTTCCTGCTGCCACCTCCGCCAGTTCGACACAGTCTTCACCCTACTTACCCTTTTCAAACCCCCTCCCAGCTCGATATTTCGAAGGTGAATTTGGATTTTATTACTCTAAACTTTTATCAGATAATCATTTGTAAACCGTCGCTTTGGCCGAGTGGTTAAGGCGTGTGCCTGCTAAGTACATGGGGTTTCCCCGCGAGAGTTCGAATCTCTCAGGCGACGATTTGTTTTCCCCTTTCTCTTTAAACAGTGGTTGACATTTTTCATCCCAATTCTTGGTTTTTGGGTGTTTGATTGACAATTTTTCTTTATGAAAATATTTTTCATTTTTGATGGTCTAATCATATTTTCCTCAAAAATAAGGAAAATATTTTCTTTGGTGAGAAGTACTTTTATATTTCAAATAATTTACTCGCTTTTTCTCTCTTTTATATTTACTTTTCTCATCTATTTACCAATAGAAAGTTCCTATAATTTATTGTATAGAAATTATAAATTAAATATATTTGATTGATTAGCCCTGATTTGATAGCAATTTTTCATCTCAGAAAAATTAATTTTTTAATCGTTATTTCACTATTACAATCGTCATTTTTGACTTCTTTATTCACAAATGAGAACAACTTTTCTTTTTAACGATCAAAAATTCAATTCTCATAATCACATCGAATAATCCTTTAGTTTTCAACCTAAAAAATATTATATTTTTTTATTTTTTATTGGTGTGTAGATGAAAAAAATGTAAATAGATAAAAATTGCTTAAAACTTATTTTCTTTTCATATAAATCTTTTTCTCGCAATCAAACGCAACCTCAAATTCTTCCACTAATAATATTGTGCACAAGTGAAGGGTCCAATAAAGAGTATATTATTATATTAACTAATTTTAATGATTCTACATTTTGGTTCCATTTTAATAAGGTTTTGAGGAAAAATATATTTTGGACAATATTCTGAAAAATGTAAAGCGTAGCTAGGTTTAAAGGCGAAGCTTCAAGCTTTACAAGCTTAAGCAAGCATACGCAAGTCCTATGCGTAAAAAAAGTTTTCTCATTTTAATATTATTTTAAATTTTTAATCATTTTAAAAATCATTTAATGATTAAAAATATATATATCAAACATTTTAAATTATAAAATACTACATTTACTTAATAATTTTTTACAATTAGTCAATAATACAATTTTCTAATTTTCAAAATACAAAAACTAAACTATTTTTCATAATTTCAATTTTCAGCTAGACAAGTCATAGCTAATAGATTTATAGGAATTTCATACGTACTTTTGAAAATTTTAACAAATAATGAATCTCGTGATTATAATTACATAATATAGATAGCGCTATAGCATAAATCTATTTAACTCTTTATTAGATAAAATTATTTTTAACTTTTGTTCAGAAGAAATCTTTCAAAAACTTGAAAGTAAAGTAAACTAATTTTTTTTAAAAATATAAAAATAATAGTAAACTAAAATCAAATAAAAGACTTTAAAAAAAGGAAAAAAAATTAATAAAGCATGCCTAAGGCAAAAGAAGAGTGGAAGGAAAAAATTCCACCATTTAGTAATTGAAAAGGAAAAGTACATAGGCGCGAAGCAAGGCATTTTGCCCAAGCTTCAAGCCTATGCCAACTTTTTAGAACACTGATTTTTGAATAATGATTTTATGAAGAATATTTAGGTAAAAATTAGAAATTTTTTAATTTACTTGTAACATTATTTTCTTAGAAAATGTATGATTAAAAAGAATAGAGAGAAATATATTTTGAATAAAATGAGGCCCAAAGAAGGGCAATATCTCATTCTTATTTGATAATTTTTATTGATACAAAGTTTTGAATTGACAAGAGTATAAAAAGTCATATTCATAAAACTTAAAAAATAATTGGGGAATGTAGTAAATACTTTGTCCATGTTTAAGCCTCATTTACTTAGAATAGATTTTGTCAAAAAAGTATAGAGAATGTGTAATTAAAAGTAACGAATTATTTTAATTTTACGAGTAAAATTATTTTATTAGGAGAATAAGTAATTTAAATAGAAAATTATAGCTCCTTAGAGATTAAGTTATATACTCACTCAATAGTACTTACCGATCATTTAAAAGATTTTATTTTAGTTTTGCTTCTTGCATAATAAAATTCTTGATTAAGTTACTTTAGGTCAATTTTCATTAGAGTTCTTTTAGCCTAATAAAATATAAAAATTATTTAAAATGTTCAAAAACAACTTTTTAATTTTATAAATAATTTATAACTTGTATAAATTCGTGTCAAATGAATTCTTAATTGAATATATAATCCCATGTTTGATCGCTATTATTTGGCTAAAACAATATTTTTCATAATGATTTTTAGGAGAATGTGTACTTAAAACATAGGAAAAAGTTTTGAGTTTATATGTAGAATATTTTATTGTATGAATATATGATTGAAAATAAATATATATAAAAATAAAAAATATATAATGATAGTCAAACAATGGCTAAATATACTCAAGTAGGAGAAAAAGTCAAACCCCATTAGAACTTTAGATTAATAGGCTTAAGCACCACGACGTGAGGTTGAATAGACTTTAACTTAAAAATATATGGGACATTCAAAGACTCTCCTCGAGGTTTTCTAATAGTTCAATCCTTCAAGTTATAGACTTTTTTCTACTAACTGATATAAACTTTTACTTGAACGTATTTAGCAACAACATATCTCACTGTGCTAAGCCACTGTTTAGTAGGAATTAAAATCAAATCTTTATTAGAGTTTGATAAAATGTATAGTTAAAAGTTGTGAATTTGATAAAGTGTGTGGTTAAAATTAGTAGTTAACTTTGATTTAAATTAAAATCTGTATTTCAATTTCTTCAAAAGAGGAACTAAGCCTGTTATTTCTTCTTCTTTTCTTTTTTTTTTTTTTTTTTTTTTTTTTTTTTTCAGCTATAATCTGCAGCAAATGTCGAGCTAAATTACAAGAAAGTTGGTTTTCTTTGAACTTGTCGCTACAAAACTTTTCTCAAAAGCTATTTGTAACATAATATATATATATTGCACCACCAAGAATTATTGTACTGCAAATAATATGAAATGTCATGGTGTCAGAGGCGTCATGCCTGATGAACAACTTAACTGATAATCGAATCATTTTGAAAGTCAATTTCTAGTTTTTAAATGGAATTGACTGGTCATATCTATGTTTCAAGATATTGAACCTTTAAATAAACCTTGATAAATAGATGTATGCATCGGCCACCCTAAAGAGGAAAAAGCTTGAACAGAGTCACGTAGGCCCTATCTTAGTGTTCAAATAGCGGGGTCCAAAAAAATGCCTTTAGTTAGTTTTGGTAATACTATTATAAATAAGTTGCATTCAAAGCTGATGTGTAGTCTACTGAGTTCTATCATTAGAATTTTCACTTCATTGTTTTGGTCAATGGAGTGGTGTGGGGTAAGACGGTTCTTGGTGATCAGGCGCGGACCCAGCACCAGGCGAGAGGGTGCGATCGCGCATGCTGGTTCCGTCGAAATCTACAAAGTCGTTGCGTAAGGAGTTGCAGTCTTGCAGGATCGCCTGGTCACTAGTCACTGTGCAGCGGCTATTGGAGAAAAAGGAAGATGAAGGCGCCGCCCATTTTTTTTTTTTTTTTTTTGGGTTTGGGCTTTAGTAAATATTAAATTTTGGGCCTATTATTATTTGATTTATTTAGCCCAAATGAATTTATCCAACATATGGCCTTGAACCCATTACCCATAACAAATTTCATTTGGCCATTTCCTTCACATTTTCAATCGCCAGCAAACGAGCTCAGGCAGTAGCAAGAATTGTGAATTTTCCCCAAATTACCAAACCCTTTTCCTCAACCTCACTTCTTCTTGCTCCAAATTCACACCACAAACCACACGACCTAGCTGACTAGCTCCAAACTCCGGGCAGACCGAATAAAAACTCCATCAAAGCATTCGCTGCTTGCCTGCTGCCCGCTTCGCGCCTGCTGCCGACTGTCGACTGCCAAACGCCCGCCAACCAGTGAACCGGACAGTGAACTCCATCAGGCATCAGACTTTCAGACCGATGACTCCTTCTTTCCCTCTTTATTATTATTATTATTATTATTATTATTATTATTATTATTATTATTATTATTATTATTATTATTATTATTTGGGTTTTGGTGTTGACGTGTTTTTCTATTTTGTTTCAATTGTTTGGCTATTTTGATTTTGTTCGATTTTGTTTTGCCCCTGCTACTCAGAGTTTGCCTATTTTGTTTTGATTTTGTTCTATTTTGGAGTTGTTGATGTTTATTGTTCAGCATTGAAAAATTTAATATTAATTATGTTATTATTTATTCATTTGGGAATTTATGTTTGCGAATTGTGATTTATAAATTATGATAAGTAATTTACGTTTTATCATGATGAGTTATGATTATTGATTTGGGAATTTATGTTTACGAAATTGTATTTGTGAATTGTGATTTATGATGAGTAATTTATGATTTGATGAGGGAATAGGATATTAGGAATGATTATTGATTTAAGAATTTACGTTTAGGATGATATTTTGCAGATTATGGAACTATTTTATCAACCAAAACAAAAGTTCATACCCAATTCTTCTACTTCTAGTTATGTATCTAGTCCTGCCACTGATTCTAGTCGAGCACAAGAGTTATTGAATAACACAAAGAAGTCTCGGGCTCAATTTAATGTGGATAATCTTATATCTGATCCAGGAATACGCCCCCCTATCGAATCATATGATCCTAATATCAGAGATGTTGTTAGGATGACATACTTGAAGAAAGGTCCTTGTCAACCATATGAACATGATTTTTCAAGAAGACCGATGAGGAATGATAATAGATGTTTTCGGAAAGAATGGTTCTTCGAATTTCATTGGTTGGAATACAGTATAAAAAAGAATGCGGCGCATTGTTTGCATTGCTACCTGTTCAAACCCGATAGAGGGGGTCAAGACCGGCTTTAGGGATTGGAAGCACAAAAAGACATTGAAAGATTATGTCGATCTCTTTGATAGTTCTCATAATCATGCTTTTGCAAAGTGTACCAACTTGATGAATCAAAAGCAAAGTATCTCTTACGTTATTTCTAGCCAAAGTAGTAGTCAACAACAAAGTTATAGGACCAGGTTGAATGCGGTGCTAGATTGTACTAGACTCCTCTTGATGCAAGGATTGTCATTTCGTGGTCATGATGAATTGAAAGAGTCTCTTAATAGAGGAAATCTAATTAAGTTATTGAACTGGTATGCAGTTCGTTGTAAGGAAATTAAAGAAGTATTATTTAGTAATGCTCCTGAAAATGATCAAATGACTTCACCAACCATCCAAAAGGATTTGGTTAATTGTTGTGCCGTAAAGACGACAAGGGCTATTATCAATGAGATTGGTGATTCTTTGTTTTCAATTTTAGTTGATGAGGCTCGTGATAATTCTGTGAAAGAACAAATGGCAGTTGTTTTAAGGTTTGTTGATAAAAGTGGGCGAGTAAAGGAACATTTTTTGGGTATGTCCCATGTCACTAATACTTGTGCCCAATCACTGAAGGATGCCATTGATGCAATGTTTTCTACACATGGGTTGAGTATATATAGTCTGAGAGGTCAAGGCTATGATGAAGCAAGTGATATGTCATGTGAGTTCAATGGGTTGAAAGCTTTAATTCTTAGAGAGAACCCACATGCTATGTATGTTCATTACTTCGCTCACCAGCTTCAGTTGGCAATTGTATCTGTGGCATGTAGGAATTGTATGGTTGGTGATTTTTTGGACATACTTGCTATTATTGTGAATTTGGCTAGTGCATCATATAAACGTGTAGATGTTCTTCAAACAAGTTATCAAGCTAATATTCTGGAGAAGCTTAATACTGGGGAACTTACTGGTGGAAGTGATCAGTTTCAAGAAATGAGTTTGGCACGCCCAGGTAATACTAGGAAGGGCTCACATTTATTGACAGTTACTCGTTTCATTAATATGGTTAATGCTATTATAGATGTTCGTGAGAATATATCAGAAGATGTAGTACATTCAGATCAAAAATCTTCGGCCTTAAGGCAGATGAACAATATGCAAGATTTTGAGTTTGTGTTCAGTCTTCACTTTATGTTTGAAATTCTTGTAATTACAGACGACCTTTCACAAGCCTTACAGAAAAAGGATCGGGATATTCAGAATGCTATGAGGTTATTGAATTTGTGTAAGTATGCATTGCAGAACTTGAGAGAGAATGGTTGGGATACTTTGTTCAGTAGGGTGTTTGAATTTTGTGTTGATAGACATATTTTAGTGCCTAATATGGAGGATATTATAGTAGTGAAAGGTCGACCTAGGCGTGTAGCTTAGCAAGTGACTTATTTTCATCGCTTTTATGTTGATTTGTATTGTCGTGTGATAGATTCAATCTTGTAAGAGTTGAATGATCGATTTCCAGAAATAACTACTGAGCTTTTTACTTGCATTTCATGTTTAAGTCCAAGAGATTCATTTGCAGCTTTTGATAAGGATAAATTGCTACGTCTTGCTCAGTTCTATCCTTTGGACTTCAATAGTAAAGAACTTTTATTACTTAGACCTCAGTTTGATAAGTTTCTTTTACTTGTGAGAATGGATGAAACTTTCTTTAATCTCAATAGTATATCCTGTGTAGCTCAGAAGTTGATTGAAACTAGAAGTACCTGTTATTTTCCATTGGTTTATAGGCTGATCACCTTGGCTTTGATATTACACGTGGCAACTGCAAGTGTTGAAAGGGTATTTTCTGCTATGAATCTAATCAAGAATGATTTGCACAATAAAATAGGAGATGACTGATTGAATGACAATTTGGTGGTTTACATGGAGAAAGCTATTTTTAAAAAACTTGAGAATGAGGCAATATTACAATGTTTTCAAATCATGAGACCCCGTAGAATACAGTTGTCTAAGTTTACAGTTACAGAGTAACTGAGTAAGGTTGTATCATATATATTTATTTTTTTTTTACTATTTTGGGTTGTATCGAAGTATATTTTCATATGTATACGATTTTAACGTTTTAGTTCATTTACATATATATTAAATAACTTTTAATGTTATGTAACCAAATTTTAATAAACGATCGGACTATTACGATCGTCGACGATCAACGGTCAATCCGCCCTAGCTGGACATGGATCCTGGATTCGCCGCTGTTGGTGATCAATGCTTTTTAAACATTCCATGGGAATATGTCACACGATCCAAGTTGAATAATAAGCACAAAATTGGTTGAATCTCCAATGACAAAGATCAAATAATCCAAAATTTACACATTCATGATTTATTTGATTATCTCTACATGTGGCAAAGTATCTGTACCTGTTTAATCCAAATTGCAAAAGTTGTTAAGTCCATGTTTGGGTTGGCTAAAATTCGATTTTGATAAAAGTTGATAAACATTTTGAATTTCACAAAATATATAGTTCAAAATGAACTTGAGGAAAACAATTTTTAAAAAATTAGAGCTATCAATAGCAAAATAGAAACGAGGAAAAAATCGCAAATACATTAAAATTTTGAAATATTTCGTTAATTATCGTAATTATTTTAAAATTTAAATTATACTACAAATTTCACATAAAATCATTAACTGTACTCGCAACCAAACTTTCCATATACACACAACGTAACAGAAACCGTGAATGGGTGATATTAATGGAAATTAACTACAGCTTGTTGCCTTTGAAAATTTGATTTGAATTCAAAACATAGTAAATTGAATATACCATTTCATAACTTTCTCTATTACAGTATATTTATTCTCACCAAATTGTGGCATCTACAATTTCTTACATTGTTGTTTATTTTCATTCTATTTGTGTATGCAAATAGAGTATCTTCACTTGAAAAACGTGGTAAGTGTAATTGTGTCTCTCATGATAATATAGAAAAATAATCAAGAATGATTTTTTGTTTTCATAATAAATTAGTTAGTCTATATTCAGGTTAATGCAGTTCTGTAAATTATGTCAATCTATATCCATATGATTTCTTTTATGTGAATAATATGTCTTTTAGATCACAAATGATGAAATACCTCATGGATCTAGATTGCTATACATGAAAGCCCAAGTCTAGTTAACCAAGAAAGGGTGAATTGGTTATAGAAACTTTTTTGAAAACTAATTCTAAGCATACAACAAATGCTTGCTTGAATGTAGCAACTAATCAAATGCCCTTAAATATGGAAAAGAACAAAGATTGAGATAAAATCACATATAACAAATAAAAGTAAATATGAGTAAAAGGTAGAAAAGTCAAACGATATGATATGGAGGTTCGATCCAATGCAATGATCTACGTCCCCCGTTACCAAGCTCTCCGTCACAAGCAAGACTTTTTACACTATATTGATTGACTTATGGTGCAATCAAATCTTCTTACAACGCTTCCAGTGACTTACAACCAAGGAGCACTGATCCTTTTACAATGTTGAAATTCTCGGGACTTCAACTTAACCCATAAGTTTGAAAATAAAGAGTTTACAAATAGAGACTTCTCTTGCAATGAATGATATATTTGACGTTGAGTACAATAAGAAAAGATAGATAACACTTTAGTAGATAGCAATGATTGAAACTCAAGTGTTAGATAAGAAAAACTTTAATAAAGTGATTTTCAAAGGTTGAATTAATCAAAAGTTTTTTTTAATGTAAATGAGTTGAAAATATAGAAATAGAAAAAATGATTGAATAGATAAGATCAATAATATTACACTTTAATGCTCATAAAAGTCTATCTTTGAATGCAAAAAGTTTCGATATTTATAGCAGCAAAATTGTCAAACGTTCTATCTTACTGGACGTCCGCTAGCTTACAGAACGGTCAAGTAATCGTTTTTGTTCAGAAGTCAGAGTGTTCAATTTCTTAACCGTTGGACAAATCTGCCATACCGGACACGTCCACCAAAGCTAACGGATGCGTCCTCTAGGCTAGTTCGTGTCCGGAAGTTAGAAATTTTCCTTCTTTAAATATTTAAAAAGATGTAATCTCATGAAGGACGTTTCTAACATGTTTTACGGATTTTTTGACATTTCTTAAAGTATATAATGGGTTCATGCCTTAAGAAAAATTATTTATGTAAAAATCGTGCTTGTCGTTCGAAGAAACATTTCTTGAGCTTCAAATGACGTATTTGTCAAATACTAAAATTTTTTACCCTAACATTTGAAATCAAGGTGTCTAAATCTAATTTCTTCTTTGTTTGACTTGATGAAGTGCTTGTTATCTTGATGTGTAACTCGGCTTCTGCTTTGCCCAATTTGCAAAAACTTCGAAAGTATCCTTTTGTCCACACTTGTCATAACTTCTATAGTCACTCAAATACAATTGTTAAACATAATTTATTTGTTATAATCAAAATGAGAAGTTAACAATAGATCAACAATACATACTCTATTGATGCAATAAATATACAAATGTTAAGATTTGAAATGTTATGTGTAATTAGATTCAATAAACGAATAAATTCAAAATGCATCAGATTTAGTCACATATTTGGGCATCATATGTAAGCTATACATGACATTTCTCACATTGATTTTTAATTTTGTCTTCTAATGTTTCAGACAATGGAATCTATCAGTGTATTAGTTGCAAACACGTATGGCATTATGGTACCAATAAATGGCAGTTACCATGATCTAATCAACTTATCATCACTAGAATTAGATGTCAATAACGATATAGATGAACTAGAAAAAAATTACGATGTGGGTAGGAATATGGCACCGGTTAGGATCATGAATAGTAGATTGTTACAATTTTACCTATAGATAAAAAGAAATGAAGCAACTTTAATGGCATACACTTATGCATTGTTGTCATCCAATCAATGAGATCAGTTGGATCTGACACATATTCATAGCATGAAACCAATAACAGATCTATTTGTACAATGATTGATGGAGCACGTCTATGTGTAAACTTGACATTTAATGATGTTACTTTGCCAACATTGTAGGAGTTTGTAATGAGCGTGGATGTAAATATTCCTCCGTCATTCGATTATAAATATGATGATATGTCCGACGTTGTGTTGTAAACAGAGATGGAGTTTGTTGCTGTAGATCAAATTTTCGTGATAAGGTTCTGTTGAAGGACAACCTTGCAATGTATGCTATAAAGATGTATGCTATCTAGAACAACTTCGAGTTCCTTATATACAAGTCGGACCATAGCAAGTATGTGCTAAAGTGGAAAAGTCAATAGTGCAATTGGAGTTCAGGGCATCGAGGATTGGGCAGACTTACATGTTCAAGGTGCGTTACACACGTAACGGTCATAGCTCCACAATGGACTTTGCTATTTAGGATCAAGCTCAAGCGAGAAGTACTTTAATAAGAGAATGTATTAAATACAAATATACTTTCGCTAAGACTGTATACACACCTATTGACATTATAAATGATATGTCATCAACAAATGGATTGACATTGCGATACTATAAGGTATGGAGGGCTCGGGAGCTTGCTTTGGAAAAAAATAATGGGTGATCCAGGTGATGCATACAATAAGCTACCAGTTTATTTCATTGATGTTGCAAAAAAATCCAGGCCCAAAAACTAGTATCGAAAGAGAGGCTGATGGACATTTCCAAGTATGTATTCATATCGTTAGTAGCGTTCATCACAGGATGGAAGTACTACAAGTCGATGTTCGTTATCGGTGCAACTTTCTTGATAGGAAGATATAGAGATAGCTTATTAACTACATGTTCACAAGACGCCAGTAATGTTACATACATATTAGCATTTGGAGTAGGAGATTCTGAAAACAATGACTCGTGGATTTGGTTGCTTAGACGATTCAAAGAAGCATGGGGTAAGAGTGATTGTGTTTCATTTTAGTTCATCATGGTGGCATCGAACACGTTGTGGAAGAGGTGATTCGGTGCACAACATGTTCTACAAAACTTGAGAACATCTTATAGTAAATGTAACATTACAAAGCCTTTCAATTCAACTGTGAGAGAGTACATGAAGCATAAGTTCAAGTGCCACATGAAACAACTTGATCAAATTAACAAGGAAATACGTAAAGATCAGGTAGGAATCAACCTTCACTACAATTTTCAATATCATCATTCACAATTTCAGAATTATCACTGGTGTAATACACAAATACGAACTCGTAGTGTGAGATTTATTAACTATATCATATTGTGATTATATATTTTTCTTAAATCTGCAATGATACATGAGGGTTTAGGCTTCTACAAGTGGTCGAGATTCCATGTGTCTACAAATAGATTTTCTTCCATGACATCGAATATTGTGGAGTCAATAAATGCAGTTACAATATCGTTCAAGCATTGTCCAATTGAT